TACAAACTCGCTCGTCCTTCCCCGCTTGTCTGATTCCCTCTCTACATCTCCCATGCACATGGGGTCGAACTCCCTCCGAGATGTCCAGGCGTCATCTAGGAAGGAGACCTTGGTATGCGACGGTCGGGGGCAAAATCGAGACCGTTTGAGAGATCCCGACCGAGCAGGGGGCGACTGGTACGGAGCAGAGCCCTGAACCTGCCCCGTCTTCTCCAACCCCGATCTGCTTGGTATCACCTCCTTGCCCTCCTTCTCCTACTCCGCCGCCTCCTCCTCCTTCCCCTCCTACAACTGCTCCTCCTGCCGCTATCGCCAAACCTCCGGAAATGGAGGATGACAGCGACTCCCGCCTTTCCCCGTCAACAGACGTTGCTGACATTGCCAGCTGACAGCCCGCGGGATCTCCGCCGACGCCGCTCATACCGGCCCCCAGGAGCGACGGCTGCGCCTGAGCGCTAGCAAGCGCACTGGTTGGCGTCAACAGCCCACCACCTCCAGGTGAGGACGCCGGAAAGTCAAAGTGCGGATTGGACGTCCACGAATGCGAGCCAATTTCCGCGGACCCTGACGTCGCAAAACTTCCAGGCGAGAACAAGATCGGTATCCGGTTCCCCCCCCCGCCAACCGGCGCGATTGCCCCTGCCACTGCCGCTGATCCCCCCCCCCCGCTTTCCCCAACTAAGGACATTGGCGATGGCAGTACCCCTGACTGGCCAACGAAATGATGTTGCTGCTGCTGCTGCTGCTTGCGAAATTCCATCCCTCCAATAGCAGATCTCCTGCCACTGGCAACGACAACAGCAGCACCGTTCACACTTCTCTCAGTAGTTTCAATTTCCGCCACGACCAACCCGGCCCCCACCGCCGCGGCTTTCGCGTCTTCCCGCTCCTCTGCCCCCTGTTCTTTTCCCCCGACCCCGACCTTAGTCCCAAAGGGGTTCCCACACCCCGAACACTTACACGAGACCGAGCAGGGCACCTCTGCCTGATAGCACTCGCAGTATTTTTTCAGACAATGGGACCTTCTACAATTACACCCACGCTTGTGTCTTGCGGAGGCGGAAGATTCTACAAATTCCTCCTCTTGCGCCGCTGCGGGGTTATCCCCCTCCCCCCTTCCTGCGTCTGCCATTCCTCCTCCTCCTCCCCCTCCCCCTCCCCCTCCCCCTGGTGCCGACAAGGCTGCTGCTGCTGCTGTTGCCCCCCCAGCGCTTCCCCCTCCCCCCCCTCCGGTTCCTCCTGCCATTATGATCTTGGGAGTGAACGCCAGAGGATCCCTCGCCTCGATCCCTGCTCTCGTATCCTGAATGATCTCCTCGTACTCGGGAAGATTCAGACAGTTTTGGCAACAACAGCTGGCCGCGCAGTAAGACCCTGCAGCAAAGCAGTCGCAGTAAAGCTTTAAGCATTTGGACTTCTTGCAGTTACAGCGCTTGCAAGAGGAGGATGGCGTACCCTCCTCGCCAGTAATACCCGACGATCCAGATGATTTCCTCCTCTTCAAGATCGGAAGTCTCCCAGCCCCTTCACTTTCTGACGCATCCGCCGATCGCTCGCCTATCTGTTGTAGGTCCGGGCCCTCCACTCTAGGCAGCAGTCGCCGCCGCTGTTGCTGATGCTGCTGTTGTTGGTGTCGGTGTTGTTGGTGCTGTTGTTGTAGTTGTTGTTGTTGTTGTTGATGATGATGATTATGTTGCTGCTGCTGGATATGATGGTGATAAAAGTCGTAGTCCCATAATTGCACAGGCCCGCTTACTGAACCTTGATTCTCGGCTGCCAAGGACAGTTCTCCGGCCGAAACCGGATCGCTCCGGACCAGACGAATCGCCGACTGAGGTCCCCAAGTCGGGGCTCGGGCCCACGTAATGCCGCCACCCCTGTTAAGTCCTCCTCCACCACCCATCAATTCTTCGCATCCTCCACTTGCCGCTCCTCCTCCCCCTCCTCCACTCCTTTTGCCCCCCATCAGCCTGTCCTCCGCTGCTCTCTTAATGCATGAAGACTTGACATTTGCATTCGCCCCACCCTTCTTCTCGGTTTTCTTTTGCACTGCTGTTGTTTTCCTCTCTTCCCTTTCCTTCTCGATCGACATTGCTTTCTCCTGCATGCTGACCCTATTTCCCGCCACAGCTCCTGACGACAGTGCTTCTCTCACCGCAGAAGAAGCCAGACATGGCTGCTGAAAGCCACCACCGTCCACCATTACCTCACCTTGTGATTCGGAACATCCGCTGCTACCAAGGGTAGTCGACTCGCCCTCCCCTTCACCCGCCACCGTCTTACGGTAGTGTGATTGGATGGCTGGGGAGAACGTGTTCACTTTCTTATTGCAGAGATCCACCAACCCCCCCTTCCCCCCCCACCTAATCCCGCTCCCATCATTGACGCCTTGTTGTAGATTTGCTAGCCCCACAGGGCTCAGAGGGATCCGCATACTTCCACTTTCCACCGTACTAGCTTCGTTACATCTACCATATGCTCCTTCCGCACCACCTCCACCTCCACCTCCTCTCTGTGCTAAATCTCCGCTAGTTACAAAATGAGCGGCGGCGTCAGCGGCTGATGCGCTACTGGCGATGGGAAGAGCTCCCGGCGGTCTGCCAGCGTCGAGGTAAGAGCCACGGCCACCATCTCCTCTTCCGAGTCTTTTGGCCCCTTCCCCACAGCCTTCTCCGCCTGCGCCTGCTGTCACGCGAGGAACGCTTACCTGCGCGACGGGAGGGGTCTTGTCACACACCATGACTGTGGATACAGCATCAGACGCGTCAAGAGCAGAGGTCGCTTCCATAGCCGAAGCCGTCTTCAACGGGGAGGTGGAGACCATCTCTTCCTCTCCCGTCCTCCTCATCGCTGTAGGGGCAGCATTGCTGCCCCCAGAAACTTCCTCTACTGTCCCGAGCTCCATCGATCTGCCACCTGGTGTCACAACCGAAGGTCGGACGAACTTGACATCCCCCTCCGGCTCCTCTGCACTGCTCTCACACTCCCGTTTGACCTTGACTTCTTCGCCTTCTCCTCCTCCTTCTGCTCCTCCTACTGCTACTCTTCCTCCTACTTCTACCGTTTCTTCTCTTTCTCCTCCCTTTTCTCCTTCTCTCTCTCCCCTCTCTTCTGCCCTCTCTTCTCCCCCTCTTTCTCCAACTACTACCTCGCCTGCAGCTAATGCTCCCCGCTTCTGACCAGCGCCTGGCTCGAAATCCAAGCATCGACGGCGGCGGAACCCTCGTGAGCTATCGTCGTGATTCTTCATTGATTTCGTAATAGAAAGCCCAGTCAAAACCACGTTATTTGAGAACCAAGGTGGCAAGTTTACGGTAGCTGCAATACCCGCCGCCGCAGATGCCCCACCAGACGCATCAGCGGATGCCGCAGCAATCGCAGCAGCAGTTGTCGCGGTGGCTCCTTCGTCCATGACAGAGTGGACATCCGCTTTGTCACTTTCCCGCGCTGCAACCTCCGCGGTTTGAGCAGGAAGTGGCTGAAAGGCCAAAGTCAGCGGTCGACACATAGGGCCAGCTGCTGCTTCCCGTAACCCACCTGCCCTCAGCAACGATGACGAGCGTTCGTCCGACGTGGCGCTAACGTCCGAGCCGGAAAACCCGGTAGACGAACCCACTCTCCCCTCCGACACGCTGGTACACGCATCCTCCTCTGCTCCCCTCATATCTGTAGCTGCGGTCACAGCGGAAACTGACACGTGGGAAGCGTCCAAAAGCACGCATTTTTCCCGCTTCATCACTATCTCTGACGATGAACAAGTGGAGGAAATCTTGACAGCATTTCCTGGCGCAGCGGAGCCACCGCCTGCCATAGCCACCGTTGATGCACTGGGTGTAGCCATCGCTGATCCGTTCGATGACCGTACTGCTCCCAACGCCAGCTTCACTCCTCCTCCTCCTCCTCCTCCTCCTCCTCCTCCAACCAATATCGGTATTTGCATTTCAGCAGCTGTTGTAGTCGGCATGACCGTTGCACAAGGAGGTACAAAGCTACCCGTAGCAATGGCAGGAGTAAAGCTCCCCATGGTGGTCATTACCATACCGCCGCCTGCGACCAATCGACCCCCATCGACGTTTCCTCCTCCTGCTCCTCCTCCTGCTCCTACTCCTGCTCCTACTCCTGCGGCTGCTCCTGGTCCTCCTCCTCCTCTCTGCTCCACATCCGACGTGCGCCATTGCCTCGCGAACCGCGAACAAGGTGACTTGAAAACGGTAGGAGGAGGAGAGTACCTTGGACATAACTCGTTGTACGTCTGAATATGCACAGTCTTTGAGAGTTTGATAGGAGAGAGAGAGCACGCGTATTTGAAAAAAGGAGAATCTTCCGGTGCGTAACGGGCAGCGGGATTGCTCCGCGCCGGCGAGCGCGTGGCAGGTGCCCCTTCATCCTCTTCGCCAAAGAGATGACTCCCGTCTTCCCCCCCTGCTGCACATGACTTGGCCGCACCACAGCCACCCAAGTCGCCACCTTCTGGATCCCCCTCCAGGTCTCGCTCCAGAGACGACTCCTGCCTTGAGGAAAGGCCCCCACCACCGTCCAGATTCATCTTGATATCCACCATATCCGGACTTCCATCTCCGCCATATGTCTCTCTACGACTTCCTTTCCCTACCAAACACTCGCCCGCCAGAGCCCAGCAAGCGGCGCGAGCGTGGAGGACGGGAAGAAAAAAGGAGGGGCAATGGGAGCCAGGGCTAAGCCAAATCCTTTACCGCGCCCTTTTCTCCCCGTTTCTCGCCGCCCAATTTAGTCCCCTACTAGTTACCCATGTACACACGTTTCCTCTCGTCCTTTCTCCTCCTCCGTAGCGCGTTCTCCTCCTCATTTCTTCCCCCCTCCCCTCATACAAGATAGTCGCAGCAGAGCCAGCAGAAACCCCCGCCCGCGTCCGTCCTTGCAACAGGGAGCCGATGGAAGACAAGGCCATGCAATGCAGTGATCTCTCGCTAGAGGCGAGAGACAGAGGGAGAGAGAGACATCCAGAGACATACAGAGCGAAAGAGAAACATCCAGAGACATACACATACACAGAGAGAGAGAGAGAGAGAGAGAGAGACAGAGAGACAGAGAGAGAGAGCGTACGGCTAATTATCACTGCCACTCACTCACCCGGATCAGCACGGCACTGCGTATCACCGTTGTTTGTCTATGTCGGGGCTGATATGGCGTCTCTCCATGTACGTCCCGCCCAAAGCTCGCCAGGAGAGCGGGAGACGCACACACACTCGTCATACCAACGCATTCACCGACGCCAATCACAGTTCGTTTGTCTTTGTCTGGGCTGGTATGGTGCACCATACCTCCCGCCCAACGATCAGCAGGAGAGCGGGATACACACCCCGCCATGCACACGCAATTCATCAACGCGGGCGCGCGCAAACACAGAGGAGATGTGTACACAGAGGAACACGCGCGCATTCACAAGTCACGCACGCGCGCACGTCGAGCGGGTATGGTTGTTTCCGCTGGCTCTGCCGCTACCTCCGTCGGCGGGAGCCGGAGTACTTTTGTCTTTGTTGACTGTCAGGCGAAGCTTTTACTTTCCTTGGGAATTATGACCGATCCCGCGCACGAGTTGGCCTTAGCTCATTTCTTTTTTCTGTTCTTCTTTTTTCCAGCCAGCATTTCTCCTTTCCCCTTTCCGCGACGGCCTTGCATCGCTGACCGGCAGCAGACGGTAGGACTCGATCCCAGGCCGGCTTGTCAACAGTTAAATGGGTGCACCATTTCAGCCAAAATGGACTGGGCAGCATAGCATCTCCCCTTGTCAATTTGATCGCTAGACTCCGCAGAGCCGAAAAGGAAGCGTGAAAAGAAAGAAAACAAATCAACGCCCCCGCGCGAGGGTGAGCGAGAGCGTCTGTGCTGTGCTACGGTGGGGCCTTCGTCTGGCCTCGCTCGGCTTGTCAAGCTGTCGCCATCATCAAGCAACACGTCCAGCCCCGACGGCCTGTACTCTCCGCCCGCGCCAGCGCGCATGACTCCTGTTTTCTCGCCTCCGCCCCCGGGATGTTGCGCCACGTCGTCCCCTCCTTTTCCTTGTCGATAAATGAATTTGCATTTTTTGTTTCATTTGCTCTTCGTTTATCTAAGGGCGCAATCACATGGCGCGCGCTTGAGCAGACAAAAATTCATCGGTTCGCGTGAGCGGTGGGATCTCCAACGCATCTCCCCAACACATAACCAAGTGCAGAGGGAGGACCGAAAACCCCACTGGAAAAAACTGTAAAAAGGCCTCTTTCCGCAGTCCGCCGAAAACACCGCCTATAATGCCGAATGTCTTCCCTCCTTTTAGACGACAGGGTACGCCAGACCTATCACCAGAGATCTGAGAGATCTGGTTGGTTCTATTGGTTGTATCATTCCCAGCGCACCTCGAGGACCACGCCCAGACCTACGACCTGCTCCGTGGGTCGGACTGGTGCTCACAGCACCGCTGTTCCCACATCAAAACAGCTCACGGCTCGGCCACAGGGTCGCAGCAAAGCGCAGTACAAGGTGGCTCTCTGGCATTGACCCCACAATGGTGTAATCTAGGATATGCGGAGATGCGGCCGGCGACTTTCATTCATGGCTGAACGAAGATGAGCCCATTTTACCGTCGTATGCATCTGTGACAGTGCCCGGGTGAATCTGGCGCAGGAAGCAGCTCACAGCAGTTCAGCGTCTCCAGTGTGAAAACTGGGGGTAGTAACAAACGGGGCGCGACAGGCCTACCCGGCCTGAGTCCGGAGTTCGCAGGGGTGCTGACCCACCACCAGCGGGATTAAAGGAAGTCTGAATCGATTGACTTTCAGCCGTCAGATTTTTGCGGGTACGTACCCCAGGAGCTCAGAGTGTACCTGTACCCCTGCACTGTCATGGTACGGACTATGCAGCTGGCCGTCTGCATTGGGCAAGAGTAGTCTATTCCAGACTTCTCTCGGGATTCCCAATTGGGTGCAGATCCTGAATGCATACGACCATCTGGGCCTTACTGCACTACCCACCCCACCTCCACTTCTGTGATGAGCAGTCACCCCCCACACACTGGCCTGAACATTGCACTCACTTCCAGTGGGTGCTGTTCATCTGCCCACTAAACCCACCTGCACCTAACTTCGGTGGACCTGGTCCAAATTGGCGCCCTACAGGGTGAAAATTGTCATAAAAGTCACAGCAGTTTGTTTGAAAAATGAGGGACTGGTAGCTGCCGGTGGGACCGCGCTTTGGGTTTTGGTCGGAATGGGTTTTGGTCGAAATCGAAACGGTGGCAAAGCAGGGGCAAATGGAAAGGGGGGCTGATGTGCTCCCTTTTAGTGCAGCCTTTGTGTTGAGATTGGCCCGAGGAGCGAAAGCAATAAGGTTAAGCTCTCGCCCACAAAAGAGAGAGGGAGGTGGAGGGGGGGGACTACCAAAGAGAGAGAGAGAGAGAGAGAGAGAGAGAGAGAGAGAGAGAGAAAAAGAAAGGGGGGGGGGGGGGGGGGGGGGGGAAATCAGAAAATTCCATTTTCAAAAGGTCGTTTCAATGTTAGTAAGGAACAGGCCAGACTTCGTACCGGCTCCCTTTGATTTTGTGTGGGTGTTGAGACGTGGGTCCCACTTCTCCATCGACAAGCCATCGTGGTACCCGGTGTCAAGGCAAAAACCCTGACAAGGGTATCTGCCCGGTGTTTTTTAATGTCAGACACTTGAATTTGATGAGATGGAGAACGTCTGTCAAAGGACTTATTAAGACCTGACCTATAACAGAGAGGGCGAAACTCTTTCGAACATAAATTTGTGCGCTAGTCAGCATCCGATTAGTTGTGTACTAGGACTAACGGCAAAAAAAAGGTATTCTATTGAGCGAGGTCGTGGACGTCCGATCGTGAGCCTGTTTAGAGTATATATATATATATATATATATATATATATATATATAACATATATTATATATATATAACCATTCAAGGTGTGTGTGGTCCCTTCTCTTTTATGGAAAAGACAGAGGTGACTTTGAGCGCCAAGTTGGAATGACGGCACCATGAGGACGCGTCGTCGTGGAAAGGGGAGACTAAGTTATGCTATTAAAAATAATGACAGCCGCTCGGTTTTGCATACGGACAGCAAGGTGCGGTCTCGCTGAGGCCGCTGGTCGACTAATTGAGGAAAGACTCGTGTCCGACCTTAATATTATGTTGAGGTCGAGCGCGAGACAATTACTGGTTGGTGGAGGTTGGCGCCCCGACCTTTGGATTGGATGCCTGGCCGTTGGGTTGGGTGCCTGGTTGTTATTTCTCTCATACTAAGGGGAAACAAGGCTGCAAAAAGCAGCAAGAGGAGGAAAAAGGCCCTGAAGGCCTTTGGGCTTAAACTAGGGACTCGTGGCTTGACGACCACGGGTTTGCCCTGCCTCAAGGTCAGGCTTAGGAAGAGAAAAACGAATGAATCGATTTTTTTTTTTCTTTGTTTTGAGAACCCGGCTGCTATCTGGGTTAGGTCCCTTAGTGGGTTCTTGCACTCATTACAACAAACCAGCTAAGGGGCAGGTGCCGAATGTGGTAAGGACTGTGGAAAGGTGCATTGTTGAGGTTGAGCTTCCGCAGTAGCAGTGCGACAAGGGAGAAGTCTGATGCAGCCTCTTCTTGATACATGCATGAAAAAAAAGAAGCCAGGTCATTTTTTTATGGGTTGGACATGACCCTTTGAGGCATGTAGGGCAGTTTGGGACCCTTGATCTCACTTGTAGATTCAAGGTCCAACCAAAGGCCGAATTTTGGCTGAGGCTCAGGCTGCTACCCCCAGCCTCTCACAAGTATAAAAGCAACTAGTTCCCTCAGTTGCCTCACACTTATTAAGGTTGTGATGTTGCCCTCACTCACATTCGTTGAGTGTTGGTGCTGCATCATTTTGAGGAGCTGCTGGAGCTGGAGGACTGCAAGGTGGAGGGAGGAGTTGTCGGTGAGGTGAGTGAAGGTCTACATAGTTGAAGAGAAAATAGGAGGGGAATCTCTACCAAGATGTATGGGAGATGTTATTGGAGTAAGTGTCGGTGTTGCATCACTTTCAGGTTGTTGAAGTGAGTGGTGGGCTGCAACGAAAGAGGAGGGAAATGTTGCTAGTACCAAGGGTAATGCTATTGAAGCTAGGGGAGATACTGCAAGTGGTAATTCAAGTGAAGAAGAGGCTGTCGTCGAACTATTGAAGAATCAGCAGGGAGTTGTGCATAAGAAAGACGAAGTTGTAAGTTAATGTGTTGGGGGTCTCCAATAAAAGTGAGGTTGGGGTGGGGATTAACTAAGTTAGTTGGAGTAAGGGTATTGAGGAAGTTCACAAGAGTGTACTATTTGAATGACGGTGTCGGCGCGAATACCCTTATAAGGATATCCACCCTGGTTTTTGCAAATAACAAAATAAGTTTAGTTTAAAGTTTGAATACACTGCGCGAGTCACAACTGTGTCTGTTATGTATGTTGACGGAATGGTTGACTAAGAGTAAAGAGTGTGTGGGCACGCATGCTTAAGGCGTGCGTGATCTCTCTTCTTATTGATAATTATGAAACCAACATAGTTGTCAGCTAAGTTTTTATTTTTCTGATTGAACTAAGGATCAAATAATATTTTCCTTTGTTTTGAGTGTTTGAGCGGGACGTGTGCATTCGTACGGAGGACGACCTCGACAAAAGTGTGTTTTTGGAACGTTTCAGTAGGTTCGCTCGTCGCGCGATACCC